CTGTTTCCTAGCAGTTTCTTACCCAGTCAGCAGCATGCTGACTGGGTTCTGTTTCCTAGCAGTTTCTTTCTTTACCCAGTCAGCAGCAGCTGACTGGGTTCTGTTTCTTAGCAGTTTCTTTCTTTCTTTACCTAGTCAGCAGCAGCTAACTGGGTTCTGTTTCTTAGCAGTTTCTTTCTTTCTGGCAACATTTTAAAAGGCTACTAGTGGCAAGCTACTGGACCGATTTTATTAAAACTTGGTCAGTAGGACCGGTGCCATCTCCCATTTATGTGTTGTTCACAACTTGGGGTCAAAGGTCACATAAGAGGCATTTATAGGGTGTTCAGGGATAAGGGATCAAAGGTCGGATAAGGGATCAAAGGTCATTAAGGGGTAATTTTTATCTTTTTTCTGGCAACATTTCAAAACGCTACTAGTGCCAAATGGTTGTGCCGATTTCAACCAAACCTGGTCAGTGTAATCGGTGACACCTCTCATATATGGGGTGTTCACTGCTTGGGGTCAAAGGTCAATAGGGGTCATTAGGGTAAAACACTTTCAAAAAAATAAATAAAAGACTTCTTCTGTCACAAATAACATAGCACGGTCTTGTCCTGGGCACATATGTATTGGCATAAGGTAGGGTCTTTATGGTGTTCAGCGATTTACGGTCAAAGGTCATTAAAGTGTTATTCTTTTGTTCTCTCTAGTAACATTTTTTCAAAATGCTACTAATGGCAAACCATTGGACCAAATTCAATCAAATTTCGTCATTAAGAACCGGTGAGACCTCCTACACCCTAGTCTGGGATCAGGGGGCACATATGGGTCATCGGGGTTAAATTTTTAAAATAGCCCAATTGAGCTCAAGTTTACCAGGAATGATCCTTAGGACCTTCTAAACACGAAAAAATACTTATAATTAAAACTTATCAATTAGTGTCAGCAGCTGCAGTGAGAAAGGGTATTTACGCAGTTAACAATTGAAATCATGTACAAAATATATGAATTACTTCCTTTTAATTCCACCATCTTGAAACTGTAAAATGAGTATAGTTCCAGGTAAGCAATACATGTAATATTATCAACATAAATCCAAAGGTAAGTAATAATCCAGGTAAGTAATATTCACAATACTGTATAAGCTGCATAAAAGTGATAATTGATGATCTATACAGTGGACTGAACAGTGAACAAGAAATAATACTGTAAGAACTGGTAAAACAATGGTGCTCTCTCAATGACTGCTTCATTGCTACTGAGCAGAACAAAGGAAAACTAGAGCCAACTGTGGTAAACATCACTTGAACTAAATAATATGCAAATATCTAAGCTGTAAAGTTAGTGAATAACTTAATGGTACACAGCAGAGTATATTTGCAGTTACATGGCTCCCTTGCAAGGATATATAAATATGATTTTGACATAATATGATCCTTGCAAAATACAATTAATGCAATAAGTTAAAGTAAAATTTAATTTTAAAGAAAACAGTTCAAGTAAATGTTCATTTTTACTTCTGGAATATGATCAGTCCATTCTTTAATAATATTAACAAAAATGTTCTCCAAGATTTGGCTCCCAGTCGAGGATTGGACCATTTGCTTGCTACAATCAATCATGCTTCTTAACAAGTAATAGCAATTTATGTATCGGCCTCTCTAAAAATCCACCTTTGTGTCGCAACTTCACTTTTCTCACAAGACCATCCTTGCTAGCATGCGCTTCCACAATAATTCCAAGTCTCCATTGATTACGAGGAGAATTATCTTCCTTTATTAAGACTATGTCCCCAAAAGATATGTTTCTTTTTTCCTCATTCACTAAATATTCAGCTTTCCATCTATGCCAAAATTGATCAGCCATATACTGGACAAGTCGCCATTTTCTACGGCAATAGACATCTGCTGACTGAAATTCTCCTGGAGGTGGAAGCAATACATTGGATTTCATAGTTAACAAATGGTTAGGCGTGAGTGGCTCAGGAGCTGTAGGGTCTGACATATTACAAACTGTCAGTGGTCTCGAATTTACTATATTCTGGACTTCAGAAAGAAATGTGCGGAACGTTTCATCATTCAGTTGCTCTCCTCATTTGTTCAATAAAGGCTCTAGTGCACTGCGCACTGTCCTTATCTGGCGTTCCCAGACTCCTCCCATGTGGCTAGCAGTTGGGACATTAAACAGCCATTCGCATTGATGTTCACGGAGGAAATGTTTTACTTTAGAAAATTCGTTTTGTGTACCAACAAAATTAGTTCCTCGATCAGATCTCATCTGACGTACTGGACCTCTTATACAAACAAATCGACGAGCATCGAGCATCGATAAAAGCATTTGCTTCCAACGAATTTACAGTTTCTAGGTGTATTGCTCTAGACGCCATACACGTAAACAAGACACCATACCATACCTTTTTACATTACTCCTTCGTTCCTTGATCATAAATGTCAACTGCACAGTAGCTAAATGGTGGGGATTCTTCAAATCTATCCTTAGGTAAATCTGACATCTTTTGTGTACTTAATTGACCTCTCAATTTCTTATAGATCACACATTCACGGATGTATCTCGAAACTGAATTTGTCGCTCCAATTACCCAATAACCATTCTGTCGCAATGCATTGATAGTGGAACTTCTGCCCATATGACTTACTTTCTTATGATGGTAATCAATGAGAAGATGAGCTAAGTGTGAATTTCTAGGTATAATAACAGGGTGCTTGATCTCCCTAGGCATGGATGAATTACGAATACGTCCTCCCAGTCGTAAAACATTAATGTCATCTAGAAAAGGGTCCAACTGACTAAAGCATGACCTCTTGAGTGCAGATTTCTTATACTTCTCATAATTTCTATTGGTATTTGGTTGATTATGAGACTTAAAGTTCTGAAGTATCTCAATTTCAGGTAAGTAGTACTTAGATTGCACAGATATTATGATTAATGATTCTGCTAACTGCACATCTTCTATTGTTGCACTGTGTTGTCCTGAGAATAGGCTCATAACACCATTCTGCTTACACTTCACCTTAGCTGCATTCATTAATCTTTTCTTCAGATTTAAGATGTGAGCAATCACAATTCTAAACATTGACCAACTGGAAAATTTGTATATCCATTTGTTAATACATGTAACATCATTGTGTTGATCGGTTGATGTGGTAAGTATATTAGACGTGGTAAGTACATTAGACTTTTTAAATTCTTTTGATATTACATCAGATACCTCTACCGTAACTTGACTTTCACATTGAGTGTCGCCATCTTCTTTCAAGAAAGCTGGTCCACTGAGCCATATTGACTTGAAAAGAAGCTTAGAGACTGATAGTCCTCTGCTGGCATCATCACTGGGATTTTGATTAGATTCAACATAGTTCCATGAATTAACATCAGTAAGATTATGAATTTGTTGAACTCTATTTCCAACACACATTTGATATCGAGTAGATACATTCTGAATACAACCCAATACCACCTTGCTATCCGACCAGAAGAATTCTTTAACTGGTACATGTATGTCTAGTTACTTTTTGACAATCTGATTCATTCTTGCAGATACCACAGCTGCATTTAACTCTTAAACGTGGTATGGTTATTTTCTTGTTAGCAGGAGTGACCCTAGCCTTTCCAACCAGAAAGAAAACAGCTGCTTTCCCATTATTATTGAGGAGACGCAAGTATGAACACTGACCATATGAACTTCGCTAGCGTCTGAGAAATAATGTAACTCTGCTGACGATACAGATGTGTATAAGAGACAGGTGTGTACCAACAAAATTAGTTCCTCAATCAGATCTCATCTGACGTACTGGACCTCTTATACAAACAAATCGACGAAGAGCATTGATAAAAGCATTTGCTTCCAACGAATTTACAGTTTCTAGGTGTATAATTGCTCTAGACGCCATACACGTAAACAAAACACCATACCTTTTTACATTACTCCTTCGTTCCTTGGTCATAAATGGCCCGAAGATGTCAACTGCACAGTAGCTAAATGGTGGGGATTCTTCAAATCTATCCTTAGGTAAATCTGACATCTTTTGTGTACTTAATTGACCTCTCAATTTCTTATAGATCACACATTCACGGATGTATCTCGAAACTGAATTTGTCGCTCCAATTACCCAATAACCACCACAGCTGCATTTAACTCTAAACGGGTATGGTTATTTTCTTGTTAGCAGGAGTGACCCTAGCCTTTCCAACCAGAAAGGAAACAGCTGCTTTCCCATTATTATTGAGGAGACGCAATTATGAACACTGACCATATGCAACTTCGCTAGCGTCTGAGAAATAATGTAACTCTGCTGACGATACTTCTCCAATGTCTTGAGGTTTGTAACATCGTGGTATTTTTAATTGACTTAAGCGTACAAAATCTTCACACCAGTTTCTCCATCTTGAAGATAATTCTTAGCTCAGTGGATCATCCCAATCAAGATTCACCTTACATAATGATTGAAGAATGAGTTTTTCCACCAGCAAGACAGACGCAATGAATCCAAAAGGATCATATATAGAGCTGATAGTCTTCAGTACATTTCTCCTGGTTGGGTGATAATCATTAAGTTGAACTCTGTATTTGAAGTTATCCCTCTCTATACACCAAGTTACACCTAAAACTCTTTCGATAGGCAATATGTCTGCCTTAATGGTCAAGTCGAGCAACGACTTTCCTCGTTCTGTCTCCGGGATGCTGTTGGGAACTTTCCTGCTGTTTGATGACCATTTATGCAACCTCAATCCAGCTTGTGCACAAATTTCAGTGCTATCTTTAATAAGTTGCATAGCTTGAGTTTCAGTGGGTAGAGACTTTATTCCGTCATCAACATAGAAATCGTTACGTATAAAATCAGCTGCCAACTTTCCCCACCGCTGTTCTTCATCATCTGCAGATTTTTTAAGACCGAAGTTAGAGCAACCTGGTGAGCTTTTTGCCCCAAACAAATGAACCATCATGCGGTATTCAATGACAGGACCATCAGGATTGTTGTCTTCAAACCACAAAAACCTCAATAAATCCCTATCTTTGCCTCTCGAACAAAGAACTGATGAAACATTCTTTTTATGTCCGCCATGACTGCCACTGGTTCTTGTCTGAATCTCAATAAAATCCCCAATAAACTGTTAATTTGATTTGGTCTGGAAAGCAAACATTGGTTTAAGGAAGTATCTTGGTAGATTGCAGAACAGTCAAAAACTACCAGAATAATGCCTGGTTTCTTGGGATGATAGACTCCTGTGTGGGGTACATAATTAATTTTACCGATGATTGCCTCTTTATCCATTGGGACCTTTTCTGCACATTTGTCTAATACATCCTTCATAAAACTAAAGTAATCTTTCTTGAAATCAGGTTGCTTGGCAAACCTCTTCTTTAGACCGTTGAATCGTTTCAGAGCCAGTGGTTTATTGTCAGGTAACTTTACAAATGGCTCACGTAGAGGCAATGGCATTTCGTAATGGCCGTCATTTCTTTGACAAATGTTGTCACTCAATATTTCAAGAAATAACCTCTCTTCAACTGACATGGAGACGCCCACTTGCTTATCATCAAAATCTAGTTCCATCATCTCTCTTACTTTAGCTGGAGAAATAACTTCTTTATAGTTCCTATTCAGAACCACTTTGCTATTGTTAGAGTTAGAGATGCAAGAAATTGCACGATGAGAAATTACACTGTCTGGTGTTTTACAGATTGTTCCAACAATACCCCATCCAAGAATAGACTTCTGGGCGTAAGGTTGATCCTCTTCTCCTGCGATGATATCTTTCGGTCTGATGATACTAGGAACATTATTTCCAATAAGCAATGCTACAGGAACATTAGGCATGTAAGGCACAACTTGATCAGCTATGGACTTAAGGTGATCCCACTTAATTGCCACATCGGGAGTTGGTATCTGTGTTCTTTCTGCTGGAATACTGTTTCTAGTGTACACTGTCGGTAGAGAAATTACTGTTTTCCTATCAAAGCTTACAACTTCTAAATCAGTTATCTTTTCACAGTTGATTAAGGTATTTGCTGAGAACATAGTTGAAAGCTTTAATTGAGTGGGTGTTCCCTTCACACTGAATTGGTCCACCAAATACTGTGACATAAAACATGTATTACTTTGTGAATCTAAGATGCAGTAAACTAACTTCTCTGTGCTGCTGCCTTTTACTCTAATCCATACAGGTAGAATCATAGAATTGTCGTTACATTGGGTTTTATCCCCGCATACAACCGTGCATTTACCATCACTAGTCACAGGCTTAACATCAGGATTCCAGTGCAAGATAGAAATGTGATCCTTACGACAGTGCTGACATTGTACTCCGGCTTTACATTCAGATGCTATATGATTAGCTTTACCACACTTGAAGCATAGTCTCATTGCAAAAAGGAATTTCTTCTTTATACGCCAAGGCTGTTCATTAAGCTTCTCACATCTGTCGAATGGGTGTGATGATTTACAATACAAGCATGAGTCAAATTTACTTGAATTAACTTTCTTTACATACCGCCCCTTGCTCTCAGTATTTCCTGCATTCACATTAGTCTTTAATGTAGAATAAGCTGATTTTCTTGGTTTGTTTTCCTTGGAAAAACGAGGAAGTTCCTTTATTTGCCTAGTAACCTCAAGCATCGGAAGGTTAGCCTCTTCTGCCCTATCTTTCAAGAAAGTTGCAAACTGAGAAAATGATGGATTTACTTGATTTCTTTGGCATGCAGCTACTATTCCCCTTCATTTACTTTCAATATAACTTTTGTAAAACCTTGCAATTCTCTGCTGAGTAATTAAGTATGCCTAGGTCTGGAATTGTAGCTTGGGCTGTAGCTAATTCATTAATTCAAAAATAGTACCAACATTAATGTATAGCAGTGAGATCTGGGGAATCAATGACATACCAAATTTCACTCTAGGTTTTGCAGATTTATTTTAGGAATAGGCAGCACAGCTCCAACTATGGCAGTTATGGGTGAATGCGGGAGATTTTCACTTTCTGTTGCTGGTATTAGAAATGCTTTACGTTATTGGTTACGTTTAATTAATGCAGATAATAAAAGTTGTATTTACAGTTGTTATAGATTCCAGTTAAGAAGATTACAGTCTAACGATAAATCTTGGTTGTACTTTATTAAGGAGAAATTATGTTCAATTGGTTTTGGTATAAATTGGTATGAACAATATGTTGAGAACAATGTTGCTTTTATATCTGAAATAACTACTCGTCTAACTGATATTGAACGTCACAATTTTCATGAACAAATTCATTTATTTTCCAGACTTAAGTATTATGTGACATTTAAATATAATTTTACAATCGAACTATACCTAATGCATATACAAAATTTTAATTATAGACGTATTCTTACTAAGTTGCGTTTAGGAGTCCTTGAATTAGAAATTGAAACTGGTAGATGGTCAAAAATTGATAAAAAAAAGATAGATTATGCAAACATTGTACATTAAATTTAGTTGAAGATGAGTACCATTTTACTTTAATTTGCCCTTGTTACACTGATATTCGTAAACATTATATATTCAAGTATTTTATTGTTAATCCATCCAAAGTTTACTCAATTAATGTCCACTACTGATATCAATACAATAAGTTGTTTATGTAAATTTCTTTATCACTCATTTAAACGTAGAAGTGATCATTCCCTCTGTAAATAGCTATTATATTTTATTTGGGCTGAAGGCCTTTATATAAAAGATGAAATAAATGTCCTTGGCCAGTACGTGCCATTGCCGGGAATGGGGCTTTAATGGGTTAAAATCAAACGTTTTATTGTACAACTGCTCTGCTGGAAGCGTACAAATGCATGTCGTTGCCAAGTAGTTGCTAACGAAAAAATGTGAATTATAGGGTAATACGCCCGCGCGCGATCCAAACCAAAGTTCCATTGGGATAAGTCATTTTACATTAATAGGTAGTTTTTAGTTTGCCGCACGACATTCCTTAACTTTAACATCAGTACCCAAAATGCACGCGATAGCTCCTGTCTCTTATACACATCTTCCACGACTACAGGAACACAAAGCTGGCACATTCTCCCGACAGTAGAATGTCAAACAAAGAATTTGAAATTGAATGGAAGAAAGTGAGATCAATGTTGCATGCTGCAGGTGCTTCTTTAACTGACATTGACAAATATAAGGCACTAAGATTCATCAACTAAATGCATAATTCTACCCATGTTGAAGGAAAATATGAATTTTTGTATGTTCATTAAATTTCTGATCACTCACATGAAATGTGAACATTTTATAGCACTGAGGAAAATTTCTGATTTTGAACTTGATGGGTTTAAGAATGTTACATTTTGGTGACTAGGGATAGCCAGTCATGAGTTTTAAATTAGGCATCCATGTACAATCTCAGTTTTTTCTAATTAAATGTTGGGATGCCAACTGTAAAGTTTAGCCTATGTCATAATTCAAATAAATTTGGACAGTATTTAATATATCAAATATACATAATATTGTTTAAATTAGTTAAAACTGTAAATGTGTTTATTAACGTCTGTGTTTTAATATGTATTGTTGTATCAGCATCACTTAATGCTAAAGCTCCTTAATTTTATTGATAATAATAATAATACTAATGGTAGACTTATATAGCGCATATTGTTAAGCCCTGTATGGGCTTCACATTATCGTTTAATACCGCGGTCATTGGATTAAACGTCTATTGAAGAAGAAATTCGATTGTTGCAACATCAGTGCATTTGGCATTAAACCCTACCAGGTACCCACTTACCGTATACTCCTTTGGTGGAGAGAAGCAATGAAGATAAAATGCCTTGCCCAAGAACACAAGTGAAATACACAGCGAGAAGGATTAAAACCCCAACCTTGAGGTTGGCAAACTAAATTTATAATTGAAACTTATCAATTAGTGTCAGTAGCTGCAGTGAGAAAGGGTATTTACGCAGTTAACAATTGAAATCATGTACAAAATATATGAATTACTTCCTTTTAATTCCACCATCTTGAAACTGTAAAATGAGTATAGTTCCAGGTAAGCAATACATGTAATATTATCAACATAAATCCAAAGGTAAGTAATATTCACAATACTGTATAAGCTGCATAAATGTGATAATTGATGATCTGAACAGTAAACTGAACATACAGTAGACTGAACAGTGAACAAGAAATAATACTGTAAGAACTGGTAAAACAATGGTGCTCTCTCAATGACTGCTTCACTGCTACTGAGCAGAACTATAGCCAACTGTGGTAAACATCACCTGAACTAAATAATATGCAAATATCTAAGCTGTAAAGTTAGTGAATAACTTAATGGTACACAGCAGAGTATATCTGCAGTTACAATACTCTTCACCCCATTATGTCAAAGTTCATAGGTCAAAGATTTAAAATGTTACTAATGGCAAACGATTGAACCGAATTCAATAAAATTTGATCATTAGGAACCAGTGACACCTCCTACACCCCTGTCTGGCATCTGTGGTTACATAGGAGTCATCGGGGTCAAATTTTCAAAATAGCCCAATTGAGCTCGAATTTACCAGGAATGATCATTAGGGCCTTCTAAACATGAAAAACTACTCTTCATCTATAGGTAAAAACTCACAAGGGTCACTATAGTGAAAATTATCAAATATTGCTAGTGACTGACGATTGGACCAGTTGCATTAGACAGACTCCTACCAAACATGGGGTGTTCACAGGTTGAGGTAAATGTCACAGTGGTTATCTCTTAAAAAATGACTGGGTTCATGTTCTACTGAACATGTATCTCTAGTTATTATTATAATGGAACGCAATGTATAGTAGAGGAATGTGATGGGATAAATATTCTACGTAGCACTGCAGACATAGGCTAAGGCCTAATATAAACTTGCAAACACAAATAAATTAGGCCTATATTTAAAAATTATAACTATATACTAATTTATTATTCACTTATTTGAAAATAATATTGTTCATCTATTTGATATCAGGCCTATGTAATTGATTAAAAATAATAGTAATATAAACAACATCAAAAATAATAATAAGACATTTGCACATAATAATGGCTTACACAAATAGTAATTACAATTATGTGTACTATTAACATAATTAATTAAAAATAATAGTAGTAATAATAACAACAGTAACAACAACAACAAAAATCATTTTTGAACGTATGAGGCTTACTAATGCACAAATCAAACAGCGTCGAAAACGACGACGGCGAGTGATGAGAATACAGAATTGAACCTGGTGATTGGGTCAAAGCACGGTCATTGTCAACAACATAACATCTCCTGGATCAGATGGTTTAGCTAAATGCGGACATCCCCAGCTAAATGACACTGTTTTCCGTTCAATTCAAGTGTCAGCGTCATTTCATGTCAATGTAAAAATCCGAAAAATACATCACATTTTAATAATAGTGTCAAATACAAGGTCGTTAATTTAGACAAGAAATATTGCAATGACAGAGTGAACAAAAAAGAATTGTGATGAGTAACAAAGACGTTGAATAACGTCTTACAATTTATTTTTGTGTTTTCTAGAAGGATTTTTATTTTATAAAAGTATTATTGTTAGTATTACCCGAATCAGTAGTTTCTTAGAATCTATTGGATTTATTAGATAATCAGTTTGGTTATAGACATACATTATGGTACTGTTGTTACTATACTAATACATTGTCATGGGCAACAGGCAAATGCTTGTATTTAATTTATTGGCTCTCTCTTTCAAAGCAGAGGAGCACTCTCACGCAGGAGAGGTTCGACCATACAACAGAACAAAAGTTAAAGATAAAATTAATTTTAAAAAAAGAGATAATAGTAATGAAAAATCCAAATGAAATTAAAATAATATTCTAAAGTTCAATCTTAACTTAAAGGGAAAAAAAGAAAAAATATATAATAATAATAATAATAATAATAATAATAATAATAATAATAAAGTAAATAAAAATAGATAAATAAATAAATGAAAACAAAAATCATTAAAGAAAGAAAAAAA